ATCGCTAGCATTGCATTAGCATACCAGCAACTGCGCTACGTGAGGTTTTAAATAAAGACATCAACGTACAATATTTGGCATAGCGTTAGCATGCCAGAAACTGCGCTAGTCGACTATATTAAGCGGTGATCGATTGTTTTTTGGGAGAGGCCACGTGACGTTACAAACGGTACCGGACTATACCCTTATTCATAGCAACAATCGAGTAGGTTCGTCGTATAGTATTGTCTAGTGATACCCGGTGCCGAGTGTTTACAGTTTATCGGTTCAGACGAAGTGTCTCAGTGTATATCTATCGTGATAATGTATTTCATCTTTGAAGAAGATTGTGGGGTACCCTTATTAATCGTCAGCAGATTTAAATAAGGTAAAAATAATTTTCATTCCTGTCAAATCATAAAACATTTGTACTGAAGAAAGAACGTGCTATCCTTAGCGAACACGGTTGACATATATCGGTGTCAAGCGCCATTTTTTGCAAGTCGTGTGGTAGCTAGGCTCATGCGACGTTGCCGGATCCTCATATAAATCTGAGTTTGTCATAAAATTTTATAGAGGGCATTAATGCTATATCGAAGATTTTATAATGCCATTGTGTGCTATTGATGGTGACACATGCGACGTTGCCGGCTCCTCACATAAATCTGAGTTTGTCATACAATTTTATAGACGGCATTAATGTTATAAGATTTTATAACGCCATGTGTGTTATTAATAACGACACATGCGACGTTGAAAAATGGAAAATGAGAAATGAAAATGAAAAATGAAAAATGAAAAATGAAAAATGAAAAATGAAAAATGAAAAATGAAAAATGAAAAATTGAAAACTAAAAATTAAAATTAAAAATTAAAAATAAAAATTGAAAATTAAAATTAAAAATCAAAAATCAAAAATTAAAATTGAAAATTGAACATTGAACATTGAACATTGAACATTGAACATCGAACATCGAACATCGAACATCGAACATCGAACATCGAACATCGAACATCGAACATCGAACTGAAATCGAAACATCGAACATCGAACATCGAACATCGAACATCGAACATCCGAAATCGAACATCGAACATCGAACATCGAACATCGAACATCGAACATCGACAATCGAACATCGAACATCGAAACATCGAACATCGAACATCGAACATCGAACATCGAACATCGAACATCGAACATCGAACATCGAACATCGAACAATCGAAAATCGAAAATCGAACATACACGAAAATCGAAAATCGAAAATCGAAAATCGAAAATCGAAAATCGAAAATCGACAAATCGAAAATCGAAATCGAAAATCGAAAATCGAAAATCGAAAATCGAAAATCGAAAATCGAAAATCGAAAATCGAAAATCGAAAAATCGAAAATCGAAAATCGAAAATCGAAAATCGAAAATCGAAAATCGAAAATCGAAAATCGAAAATCGAAAATCGAAAATCGAAAATCGAAAATCGAAAATTTTCAAATTTCAAATTTTTCAAATTTTCAATTTTCAAATTTTTCAAATTTTCAAATTTTCAAATTTTCAAAATTTTCAATTTTCAAATTTTCAAATTTTCAAATTTTCAAATTTTCAAAATTTTCAAATTTTCAAATTTTCAAATTTTCAAATTTTCAAAGTTTCAAATTTTCAAATTTTCAAATTTTCAAATTTTCAAATTTTCAAATTTTCAAATTTTCAAATTTTCAAATTTTCAAATTTTCAAATTTTCAAATTTTCAAATTTTCAAATTTTCAATTTTCAAATTTTCAAATTTTCAAATTTTCAAATTTTCAAATTTTCAATTTTCAAATTTTCAAATTTTCAAATTTTCAAATTTTCAAATTTTCAAAATTTTCAAATTTTCAAATTTCAAATTTTCAAATTTGTCAAATTTTCAAATTTTCAAATTTTCGATTTCGATTTTCGATTTTCGATTTCGATTTTCATTTCGATTTTCGATTTTCGATTTTCGATTTTTCGATTTTCGATTTTCGATTTTCGATTTTCGATTTTCGATTTCGATTTTCGATTTTCGATTTTCGATTTTCGATTTTCGATTTCGATTTTTCGATTTTCGATTTTCGATTTTTCGATTTTCGATTTTCGATGTTCGATGTTCGATGTTCGATGTTCGATGTTCGATGTTCGATGTTCGATGTTCGATGTTAGATGTTCGATGTTCGATGTTCGATTTCGATGTTCGATGTTCGATGTTCGATGTTCGATGTTCGATGTTCGATGTTCGATGTTCGATGTTCGATGTTCGATGTTCGATGTCGATGTTCGATGTTCGATGTTCGATGTTCGATGTTCGATGTTCGATGTTCGATGTTCAATGGTCAATGTTCAATGTTCAATTTTCAATTTTTAATTTTTAATTTTTGATTTTTAATTTTTAATTTTAATTTTTAATTTTTAATTTTTAATTTTTAATTTTTAATTTTTAATTTTTAATTTTAATTTTAATTTTAATTTTTAATTTTTAATTTTTAATTTTTAGTTTTCAATTTTTCATTTTTCATTTTTCATTTTTCATTTTTCATTTTCATTTTTCATTTTCATTTTTCATTTTCAACGTCGCATGTGTCGTTATTAATAACATCTTATAACATTAATGCCGTCTATAAAATTGTATGACAAACTCAGATTTATGTGAGGAGCCGGCAACGTCGCATGTGTCACCATCAATAGCACACAATGGCATTATAAAATCTTCGATATAGCATTAATGCCCTCTATAAAATTTTATGACAAACTCAGATTTATATGAGGATCCGGCAACGTCGCATGAGCCTAGCTACCACACGACTTGCAAAAAATGGCGCTTGACACCGATATATGTCAACCGTGTTCGCTAGGATAGCACGTTCTTTCTTCAGTACAAATGTTTTATGATTTGACAGGAATGAAAATTATTTTACCTTTATTTAAATCTGCTGACGATTAATAAGGGTACCCCACAATCTTCTTCAAAGATGAAATACATTATCACGATAGATATACACTGAGACACTTCGTCTGAACCGATAAACTGTAAACACTCGGCACCGGGTATCACTAGACAATACTATACGACGAACCTACTCGATTGTTGCTATGAATAAGGTATAGTCCGGTACCGTTTTGTAACGTCACGTGGCCTCTCCCAAAAAACAATCGATCACCGCTTATATAGTCGACTAGCGCAAGTTGCTGGCACGCTAACGCTATGCAAAATATTGCACGTTGATGTCCTTTATTTAAAACCTCACGTAGCGCAGTTGCTGGTATGCTAATGCAACGCTAGCGATAACTTTATCCCTATCTCTAATCATTTTTTATCCTTTGGCATCTTTGATCTGGTATCTGGTATCTGGTATCAGGTATCTGGTATCTGGTATTTGGTATCTGGTGTCTGGTGTCTGGTATCTGGTATCTGGTATCTGGTATTTGGTATCTGGTATCTGGTGGTCTGGTGTCTGGTATCTGGTATCTGGTATCCGGTGTCTGTATCTTGTATCTGATGTCTGGTATCTGGTATCTGGTGTCTGGTATCGGTGTCTGGTATCTGGTGTCTGGTATCTGGTATCTGGTGTTTGGTATCTGGTATCTGGAATCTGGTATATGGTATCTGTTATCTCTTTATCTGGTATCTGGTGTCTGGTATCTGGTATCTGGTGTCTGGGATCTGGTGTCTGGTGTCTGGGGTCTGTTGTTCTGGTGTCGGTATCTGGTGTCTGGTGTCTGATGTCCTGGTGTTTGTATCTGGTATCTGGTTGTTCTGGTATCAGGTATCTGGTAATCTGGTATCTGGTGTCCTGGTGTCTGGTATCTGGTATCTGGTGTCTGTTGTCTGGTGTCTGGTATCTGGTGTCTGTACTAGTGTCTGGTGTCTGGTCTATGGTGTCTGGTATCAGGTATCAGTATCTGGTATCTGGTATCTGGTACTTGGTATTTGGTATCTGATATCTGGTGTCTGGTATACGGTGTCTGGTATCTGGTATCTGGTATCTGGTATCTGGGTATCTGGTTATCTGGTATCTGGTATCTGGTTGTCTGGTATCTGGTGTCTGGTATCTGGTATCTGGTATCTGGTATCTGGTATCTGATGTCTGGTATCTGGTGTCTGGTATCTGGTATCTGGTATCTGGTATCTGGTGTCTGGTATCTGGTATCTGGTATCTCGTATGTGGTTGTCTGGTATCTGGTGTCTGGTTGTCTGGTATCTGGTATTTGGTATTTGGTATCTGTTATCTCTTTATCTGGTATCTGGTATCTCGTTTCTGGTATCTGCTATCTGGGGTCTGGTATATGGTGTCTGGTGTCTGGTATCTGGTATCTGGTATCTGGTGCCTGGTGTCTGGTATCTGGTGTCTGGTATCTAGTATCTGGTATCTGGTGTCTGGTGTCTGGTATCTGGTATCTGGTATCTGGTATGTGGATCTGGTATCTGGTATCTGGTGTCTAGTATCTGGTATCTGGTATCTGATATCTGGTGTCTGGTGTCTGGTATCTGGTATCTGGTGTCTGGTATCTGGTGTCTGGTATCTGGTGTCTGGTATCTGGTATCTGGTATCTGGTGTCTGGTATCTGGTATCTGGTATCTCGTATGTGGTGTCTGGTATCTGGTGTCTGGTGTGTGGTATCTGGTATCTGGTATTTGGTATTTGGTATCTGTTATCTTTTTATCTGGTATCTGGTGTCTGGTATCTGGTATCTCGTTTCTGGTATCTGCTATCTGGTATCTGGTGTCTGGTATCTGGTGTCTGGTATCTAGTATCTGGTATCTGGTATCTGGTGTCTGGTGTCTGGTATCTGGTATCTGGTATCTGGTATGTGGATCTGGTATCTGGTTTCAGGTATCTGGTATCCGGTGTCTAGTATCTGGTATCTAGTATCTGGTATGTGGATCTGGTATCTGGTTTCTGGTATCTGGTATCTGGTGTCTGGTGTCTGGTGTCTGGTATCTGGTGTCTGGTATCTCGTATCCGGTTGTCTGGTGTCTGGTATCTGGTGTCTGGTGTCTGGTATCTGGTATCTGGTTTCTGGTATCTGGTATCTGGTATCTGGTATCTGATACCTGTCATCTTTTATAAGTTTTCATTTTTCGTTTTCCGTTTTCCGTTTCCGGTTTTCCGTTTTCCGTTTTCCGTTTTCCGTTGTCCGTTTTCCGTTTTCCGTTTTCCGTTTTCCGTTTTCCGTTTTCCGTTGTCCGTTTTTCGTTTTTCGTTTTTCGTTTTTCGTTTTTCGTTTTTCGTTTTTCGTTTTTCGTTTTTGGTTTTCGTTTTTCATTTTTCATTTGTCGTTTTTCATTTTTCATTCTTCATATTTCATTTTTCATTTTTCATTTTGCATTTTTCATTATTCATTCATTTTTCATTTTTCAATGTCGCATGTGTCACCATTAATAGCACACAATGGCATTATAAAATCTTCGATATAGCATTAATGCTATCTATAAAATTGTATGACAAACTCAGATTTATGTGAGGAGCCGGCAATGTCGCATGTGTCACCATAAATAACACACAATGGCATTATAAAATCTTCGATATAGCATTAATGCCCTCTATAAAATTTTATGACAAACTCAGATTTATGTGAGGAGCCGGCAACGTCGCATGTGTCACCATCAATAGCACACAATGGCCTTATAAAATCTTCGATATAGCATCAATGCCGTCTATAAAATTGTATCACAAACTCAGATTTATGTGAGGAGCCGGCAACGTCGCATGTGTCACCATAAATAACACACAATGGCATTATAAAATCTTCGATATAGCATTAATGCCCTCTATAAAATTGTATGACAAACTCCGATTTATGTGAGGATCCGGCAACGTCGCATGTCTAGCTACCGCACTTACAAAAAATGGCGCTTGACACTTGACATATGTGAACCGTGTTCGCCTAAGGATAGCACGTTCTTTCTTCAGTGTAAATGTTTTATGATTTGACAGGAATGAAAATTATTTTTACCTTATTTAAATCTGCTGACGATTAATAAGGGTACCTCTCAAACTTCTTCAAGGATGAAATACATTATCACGATAGATATACACTGAGGCACTTCGTCTGAACCGAAAAAACTGTAAACACTCGGCACCGACTGTTGTTATCTGTTATTATATTATGCTATAAGCACAAAGTCTTGCTATGTTGTGGATTTCTGGTCTCTTCAGGAATTGATCTTTGGCACTAATTAGGTCTTACAATCATATTTGTCGTATTTAAACTGATGATGACTTCTACAAATTGCTAACCGTCACACCCGATTCCACTACATAGTTGGGGGTAAAAGACAGGAATGAAAATTGTTTACCTCATATAAATTTGCTGACGCTCTCAAACGTCTTGAAAGATGAACTAAATTATCTATAGATACACTGCGGTACGTCGTCTGAACCGAAAAACTAAACACTCGGCACCACTAGACACTTGCAAGACACACTGCTATAAGCACAAAGTTATGCTATATTGTGGACTTGTTGCCTTTTTAGGATGGATCCATATAAACGTTCATCAAAAATTATGCCACTCATTAGGGTTTACAATCATATTTATCGTATTGAAAGTGATGATGACTTTTGTAAACAAATTGCTAAACGTCAAAGCCTAAATGCTTAGCTGCCGGTAAAATTACATCGTTGCCAAGGCATACTTGATTATCATTATAATAATGGCCGGTCCGTTTAGACTATGAAATATAGAAATTTTGAATCTTTTCGAAAATGTTGATTTTCACGCGTAAAAAAGGACAATTCTATTTGGCGTGATCCAGTATTCGATGAAGCGACCAACATAAAGCCGAAAATGGCACGTTTCGGACGTTCCGCTCGCACTCGCTCGCTTTCGTAATACGATTATACCTACATTACCCCGCCTAACAGGAATCGCGAATCTGGAGGGGAAATTCAAAATTGAAACTTCAAACTAAAAATATCTGCATATCTTTGAATTTTCTAATCTGACGAGTTTAAAAAATACGATCGGGTAACGTGTCGTATGTCGGTTTAATCAGGAGACTTTGGTCTTCGTTTTGCGAAAAAAAATCGTAGCTACGTCGCTCCGTAACGCAGGTCCGTATCGACGAAGACAAGGTACCCCGAAAAACGGCTGTCATCGGTACCTTTGAGGCGCTCAAAGTTTACTTTTTCGAAATTTGACGGTAATTCTAACGGTCAGAATCGGTTCCTCAGCTCATTATCGTTATTTTTCGATAGCTGTATAATTTTACTCGCTCACGTACGGTAGTAATAGGCGAGGACAGAGCCGGATGACAAAGTGACTTTTTCGCGCGTCGAAAAGTAGCGTGTTGTCGGGCAATTTTTAAAAATCGAAACTTTCGAACGGCAAGGGATAAAGGAAAAAGAAAGACGCTATCTTTGAGTCCGACGTCCGGGCTTTCTCACGCAAAAATCGTCAGGTTCGTAGCTCCTTTATCTTCGGAGGAGATAGAAAAAGCGCGTCGAACGGCACGAAAATCTACCGATTTTTCAACTTTAGCGGCCATTTTCGATCGCGTTCGTTCCTCCTACCGCGACAACTCTCGCTCCACCGTAAAGCGCCGAGTTTCTAGTTTCCGAAACGGTATCGTTTTCCTTCCGAACGTTCCGCGAACCCGGAAAAAAACCGGAAAAATCGGAAAGTAGCGCGTAGTCGAGGAAATCAAAAAAATCGAAATTTTCGAACGAAAAGGCATAAAGAAAAAAAAGAAAGCCGCTATCTTTGAGCCCGAAGCCGGGGCTTTCTCGCGCAAAAATCGCCAGGTTCGCAGCTCCTTTATCTTCGGCGGAAACCTATGTTGAACGTCGGACAGAACGAAAATCTACCGGTTTTTTCGACTTTACCGGCCGTTTTCGATACGATCCGTTCCTCTCACCGCGACGGCTCCCGCTTCCCGGTAAAGCGCCGAGTTTCTAGTTTCCGAAACGGTATCGCTTTCCTTCCGAACGTTTCGCGAACCGGGAAAAAAAACGGAAAAACCGCGTCGACGTCATACGACAATTTCCGAACTCCTACCAATTATACCTATTACTACCAAATCGAACAAAAGATCACCGCTTAATATTATCGACTAGCGCAGTTTTTAGCATGCCAACGCTATGCTAAATATTGTCCGTTGATGTCTTTATTTAAAACCACCCGTAGCGCAGTTGCTGGTATGCTAATGCAATGCTAGCGATATATACTTTATCCCTATCTCTAATCATTTTTTATCCTTTGGCATCTTTGATCTGGTGTCTGGTGTCTAGTGTCTGGTATCTGGTATCTGATATCTGGTGTCGGGTGTCTGGTATCTGGTCTCTGGTATCTGGTGTCTGGTGTCTGGTATCTGGTATCTGGTATATGGTGTTTGTTGTCTGGTGTCTGGTATCTGGTGTCTGGCATCTGGTATCGGGTATCTGGTATCAGGTATCTGGTATCTGGAATCTGGAATCTGGAATCTGGTATATGGTATCTGATATCTGGTATTTGGTATCTATTATCTCTTTATCTGGTATCTGGTATCTGGTGTCTGGTGTCTGGTATCTGGTATCTGGTATCTGGTGTCTAGTATCTGGTGTCTGGTATCTGGTATCTGGTATTTGGTATCTGGTATCTGGTATCTAGTATCTCGTATCTGGTATGTGGATCTGGTATCTGGTATCTGTTATCTTTTATAATTCATCAGTTTTCAGTTTTCGTTTTTCGTTTTTCGTTCTACGTTCTACGTTCTACGTTCTACGTTCTACGTTGTACGTTCTACGTTCTACGTTCTACGTTCTACGTTCTACGTTCTACGTTCTACGTTCTACGTTCTACGTTCTACGTTCTACGTTCTACGTTCTACGTTCTACGTTCTACGTTCTACGTTCTACGTTCTACGTTCTACGTTCTACGTTTTACGTTCTACGTTCTACGTTCTACGTTCTACGTTCTACGTTATACGTTCTACGTTCTACGTTCTACGTTCTACGTTCTACGTTCTACGTTCTACGTTCTACGTTCTACGTTCTACGTTCTACGTTTTTCGTTTTTCGTTTTTCGTTTTCGTTTTTCGTTTTTCGTTTTTCGGCATTATAAAATCTTCGATAAAGCATTAATGCCCTCTATAAAATTTTATGACAAACTCAGATTTATGTGAGGATCCGGCAACGTCGCATGTCTAGCTACTGCACGACTTGCAAAAAAATGGCGCTTGACACTTGACATATCTCAACCGTGTTCGCCTAAGGATAGC